AGGTAGAAATCCATTCTGCTAAAAGACACAACTATCAAAGACCAGCCACAAAGGAAATGCCACTGAATATGTGTTCTTCTGGTTCAACCAAAATACTGACATATATACATTATGTCATAGACATATGTTTGTAAGCCAAGGAGGCAAAACCATTCCTTTCCCTTTTTACTGACCGTGGTTTTCCTTCCTTTCTTATCTCCTGGGAACGTCCTCACAGTAGTTAGAGCCCAAATTGGTCAAATTCTCTCAGCCTGCAGCGCAGCGCCAAGCTCTCTGGTGTCCCGTCCCCAACCTGATCTCAGCGTCTCCTCCAGAAGGAGTCACCCGGCAGGAAGTGTCTCCGGGGGAGGCTTTATTAAAGGCCATCATTTGGGAGAGTGACTCTTGTGGGGTAATCACAGACCCACAACCGTCATCTGGGGCAGCAAACCCTCCTCTGCCTGCCCTCCTACCTGCCCACCTACCTACCTGCCCACCTTCCCTCTCTCCCTACGGACGCGCTGAGAGGAATGCGGGAGGACACGGGGGGACGGGGACTCCGGGGCGGGTCTAAGCAGCGAGACGAGCTACCCTTTCTGAGACGGGAAGGTGCCCAGGGTCCAAGGCCCTGCTTCCCGCTGCTCCCGTTTCAGACGCAACTTAAATGCCATCGCGCGACCGACCTGCAAGGGCAGGTGACAGAGAGCCCCGTCCTGCACACGTCATGTCTGCTGATGAGCGGGGGGAGGTCACAGGGCAGGCGGACACTGGGGAAAGGCGGGTGCTTGTGTGTGAAGGGGAGAGGAGGAGAATCGGCATTTTGAAAGGGACATTTTCTACCCCTCGTCCCCACACACATTAAACACCCAGCCAAGAGGCTGAAGGAGTGTGTTCCTCCTTTGCACACTGAGAGGTCATCCCTGACGTTTGGCACCGTCCACCAACTGTTTGGGGTCTAGCGAAATTCTCACTCTGAGAATCGAGTGCTTTGTGAAAAAAACAATCTTGCTGAGCTTTAACAACAAAACCTTCCTTGACCGTTTCCAGCGTTGCATTACAGAGCGCGTAACATGAAAACTGTAAAAACTGTTTTTCACAGGGGAACAGGGATGCAAAGCACCTGAGAGTCATGTTTCTAAATTGCCTTTTAGTCCCCATTTCCTTTCCACGGTTTGATTTTGATTCCAGTACCTTTGACGTCTCTTTCCTAAGGAACCCCAGGAACACCCTCCCATGAAAATAGGCTTTGGGGACCAAGGACCCATCCTATTATTCAGGATGCCAGAGAAAAGGAGCAAGGCGTAGCGGGGCAGGGGGCACGCGACTCCATACGGCGCTGGCCGCAAACAAAAACAGACCCATGCTGTCCCCAGTTCATGGGACAGACTCAAACTTTAAAAACATTGCCCAGGCTGTGCTGAGGCCAATTATAGATGACATGATGCTGCTGAATTAAAAAAAAAAAAAAAAAAAAAAAAAAGGCACAGCTCTGTGCAGACCAGGGTTGGCCAGAAATTATGTGGGACTGTAGGAATCTGCTTTCAAAATTTTCCACCTTCCATTTATTTTATAAGTTTGAATATAAAACACTTTGGCAAGGTCCAAGCTACGCTTTTAAAATCTCTCATCCACACTGATTTACAATTAAAATCAGCTCCACATTGCAAACCTGGGGTTCGGTCCCCAGGACATATTTTTGGGTGTTCAATTTGTGAACATTTTTAAAACGGTGGATTTTAGGTTTCGCAGGCCAGGAAGGTGGAGTGGCCAGGACTCCCGGTGTCTGTGAAAATATTGCCCCCTGGTGGCAGAACTGACTCACCACACTTTCTGGTTCTTCAGCGTCGGTTTGGGACTGGGGCGGAAAAAATTATGGAATTTGCTTTACAGCTTCGTTTTTAACGACTTTTTGCAGAAGGGTCACTGGTGGATGTCCCCACAGACGTCTGGACTGCCAAGCGCAGGACCCCAGTGCTCTGGAGCCTGCGTGGAGCTGGGCCCCATCCGCTTGGACACAGACCTGTGCCCGTGACCTGAGTGCAGAAATCAGCCAGAAGAACACGCGCCTCCCTCCTCCCGCGAGACGCAAACACATTTGCGTCTGGTGATGCCAGAACATGTCTGTAACTGCCTCCCGGGGCCAATGGAAACATGTCCCCAGGAGAATTTTGTTTGTTTTTCAAATCGAGGCACTGATTTTCTAAAAATCATTTGTCAAAAGACTCGTTAACTGTACAGTGACGAAGTAATACAATGGTATCTGATGAAGCTCACAGTGATAAACTTCACATCGGTCAAATCTGTAGAATTTGGCTTTTTTTAAAACCAAGCCGAGGGGCCCACACATGGTCAGTGACCTCCGACAGTTCACGGGACGTTTGCCCACTGTCTGATGGTTAAGGACAGAGCGAGGCTTAGGTCCAGCCGCTCCACGCCGGCGCCGTGGCCACTTCCGCTTTATCAGGCTGCGGGCCGTTCTGCGTGCCCTGGCGTGGGCCGTGCGCTCACTTACAAACTCACTCGGGCACCTGCTCGTGCCGAGCGAGGGTCATCCCTGCTGTTGGCCTGACTTAGGAAAAGTCAGCGGGTGGGAGAGACCCCAGAGTTGTCACCACGTCCCCACTAATCCCACTCGGTGGTGCCTGGCCACGAGGTCCCTGCTCCGGGTGTCCCAGGGCCGAGGTGTGGCAGGAAGTGTACACGGTGCCTGCGTATAGAAGGGAGAGTTTCCTGAAACATGAAGAATTCCAGGAAAATGACTAGAAATTACGGGGGCGGCGACTTCATCTACTACTATCTACCATCAGGGACCCGCTGATGGAGAAAACGAATCCGTCTCGTGGGATAAACTTCGGTTTGCGTGAAACCAACTAACCTTTCCAGGGAAGAGCCGATGGCCTTCACCACATGTGTGAGGATAAACTTTTCAAATGCATGTGCGTTCTCTTCCTGCTCTTCAGGGTACAGAGAGGAGAAACCGCTTACATTTATAATGACGTCTGCAAACCAGATGCGCTGGTCGTTCCAGAGCGCCCCCTAGGGGTCGGGCGAGCTCTGTGGCTGCTGGCCCAGGGTGCAGGGGGGAGGTGCAGCCAGAGCGGCCCCTCTGTGGCCGGGCGGGAGGGCGGAGAGCGCAGCGCCCACACCTCTGACGCCCAAAGGGCGGGGGCCGGCCCTCAACCTCCACAGGCCAAGGCTGACCCCCGGGCTCCTCAGCCAGGTGGCACTAGGGCTTAGGAGCAAGTCACCTGCTTGCACAACGGCTCAGAAGGGGAGGAGCTCCTGTGAGGCCAATGCCTCTCACCGCGACTCTGTTCTCTGGGGAGCAACACCCAGGCTTTGGGGACCTGGTGGAGGGCAGGGGGAGACGCACGAGGAGACAGGCGGGTCCCACTCCCTCACAGATGCCCAGGAAGGGGGCGCGTGTTGCTGGCCACACAGGGCGCCTGACCGCAGAGCGGCCGAGCCCCTGCAGCAAGGCCACGCCAGGCCGCAGAAGGCGCTGGACCATCGCCACTGGCGTTTCCAACCACCTTCTCTGCAGACTAGAGGTCAACAGCTCGCGGGGGCGGGGAGATTCATCAAAAGCAGAGCAATGGGGGCTCCTAAGGGAAGCTGCCTCGCCACCATGCCCGGAAGAAGAGACCGGGAGAGCAGACGCACGGAAACACAGCACAGCCGTGACCTCGTGAAGGAGCAGGGGCAGACTCGACGGCTGTGATAACCGCCCGGCCTCCGCGAGCCGGGGGGGTCGCACGGGCGTCGCGGCGCCGTGGGAGGGCGAAGGGAGGCCTGTGCCCACGCACGTGGCCAGCACGCGCGGCGGCAGCTGCGGCCATTGTCATCGCCGCCCCCGCTATTTTGGGGGGCGCCATCCTGCCCCACGGCTTCACACCAGCAAACTCTGTGTCCAGGCCGACAATCTGTCTGCGACCTACAGCTCCATTTACTGCCTTTGATTTTCAATAAAAGCAACCCTTTCTTTTGTCACAAAATGAAAAAAGAAAATACCATGCTCCACATCCATCTACAACACTCCACGTATCACCCGACTTACAGCCGCGTGGCGCTCAGTCGAGGGGGGCCACACGCCGCAGGCGGCCCCTAGGAAGACCTGGCCTGGGTCCCCCTTACCTGTCTGTCTATCCACCTTCCATCCGCCTACGTCATGGCTGTATTGTTACGTGGCCTTCGTTAAAAAACCCTCCCAGAGTAACGTGCACTACAAAACGTGCGCTGCCATTCCTTGTGGTGGAAACACGTGCAATACCTGGTACACTGGAACAAGCGAAGCGGTGGCCGCTGCAAAGCCCTCTCTCTGCAATTTAAGAGGTTCCCTGCGCAAGCGCCCAGGCAGCCCGCGACGGCGCGGACCACTAGAAGACGCCTCCCGCACCCCGTGGCCAACACTGGGGCTGAGGAAGGACAGCCCACCGGAGGAGCGAGCCATGGACTTTCCCAAGCACCCTCCGCCGGCTCATCTGTTTTACAGGGAAGAAAGGCACCGCGGACGCGGTCACGACCGGTGACGATCTGCTCAGGTTGCTCTCCTGAAGGAGAGGTTTCCTCGGCCTTCGCGGGGGTCAGCCCGGGCTCTCCTGGGCTCCGAGGGGCGGGGCCGCGCGCTTCTCTGCGGCGGCTGCTGCAGCGTCGGGACCCAAGAACAGACATTTCCCATAAACCAAAAGGGCGGAGCCTACACACCTAACACCTTGAAAACAGATTTAAAGCTTGGGGTAGTAATAAACATTTTATTTAAGATCATGGTATCAGCAAAAGCGAATGAAAATGGGAGCGATACGCCCTGGCGGGTGCGGCTCAGTGGACTGAGCGCCGGCCTGTGAAGCAAGGGGTGTCACCGGTTTGATTCCCAGTCAGGGCACCGGCCTGGGCTGCGGGCCAGGTCCCCAGTAGGGGGCGCCCAGGAGGCAATCACGCAGGGATGTTTCTCTCCCTCTCTTCCTCTCTAAAAATAAATAAAGCTTTTCTAAGAAAATAGAAAATGGGGGGGCGGTACTCACATTCGAGCCCAGGCCCGGCACCGACCGTGAGGCGTCCTCATCGCTGTCCGCTCCCACCAGCCTGGGCAGCTCCACCTGGAACAAGGGCACAGCGCACGTCACCTCCAGGGGAAAGTGGGTACTAGCAGCCACATCTCCCTCGGCAAACACGCAGGCTAAGGGCCCACGCGGCCGCAGGTCCGGGCTGCAGAGTCTGCGCCAAGCAGCTTCAGTCCGCGGCCACGTCCCTCCGCGTGTGACCATGAAGGCTGCCCTCCACGCCTCACCGGTCGGACCTGCGGCTCTGAACCTGGCCACTCGGGGCGCAGAGGGTCCCTCGTCCTCCTTCCCTACTGTGTCTCCTTAGCTTAGAAAACAGGTAGCGGTGGAACAGCGGCACACCTGCGCTGAGAGAGTCAGCCCAGACAACCGACTCGTGAGCCGGGTCTTCAGGGCTTGGGAGTTTCAAATTCGGTTCAGCGCGGTTCCGGGCATCGGTTGGTGTTCACGGGGTAACCGACCAGGTGTGCGGGGCAGGAGCCCAGACCCACTTGGTTCGGTGGGAAAACCCGGCCCAGGGCCCCACCTGACCTCCCAAATGAGCGTCTCGGGGACACGACCCAGGCATCCAACCGTCTTAAGGTGCCCAAGGTGCTTTGGGAACACCTGGGTTAGCAGAATAAATAATGTCAAAATGACACTCATTTGCCATGTTTTAAAACTATTATGGCACCAAAGGTTTAAAACAAGAAAGGATATTTGCTGTTATCTATTTCAACCAACATGGAGTCCCTTTAAGTATACCCTCTACTGAGGTTTTATACACACATTCAGACACAGACACGCTTTTTTTCCCTTTATGGAGAGATATTAAAGAGTTGCTTCAGCTTTATATGCCTTGAAGTTCTTCATGTTATATTATCTGACTTATTTGTAGACTATCAGGCATTGTAGGGTTTCAGAAATCATTGAAAATAATTATTTACTCCAAACCCTCCAAATGGAGACCCGGCTTGTCCCGGGACATGCAGTGCGGGGGAGGGGTAAGTGAGGGCTCTGGACAGAGGCGGGCCAGCTCTGGTGGTCACTCACATTGCGGTTAGCCCAGGGCAGGACATCCAGGTCCCTTTACCTGTAGCTTGGGGTGGCCAGCCTCTCGCCAGGTGTCCGTAAAGACTACCTGAGAGACCGCACTGGGCACAGCATTGCAAACAATAAAAAGGGAGAGAAACAAGGAGTGAGGACCTGCATCCTCCAAACAGCCGTAAACAATCCAATAAGGATGTGACCGAATAAATAATACCCAGAGAGAAATAGAACAAGATTAACATGAGGGAAAGATGCAAGGGAAAGATAGGGCGTGGGAGACAGGAAAGCACTTCTGGCCAGTCCGAGACAGAGAGGAACGAGGATGGGACAGAAGGAGAAGCCCCCGTAACCGCAGGCCTGCTCGGCCGCGGCGGCCTTTGCGCAGCGACCCCGCCTGCCCTGGCGTCCTGGCCAGGGGCTGAGCCAGCCCTCTGCCCCAGCACCTGCTCTGACATTTTGCTTAAGCAAAAGCGAACCGGCTCTGCGGGCAGTTTCTGACACTCGGTCTGGTCTGCAGGGATCTGGGCTCTGAGTGCTCCCCACGCACCCCTCCCCTGGGGCAGCCTCCCGGCCCGGCCCCAGGCACCAGAATCCCGGCTCCTAAATACGCGGGGAGACCTCCTGGAGGGCTTGCCGCAAACACCTCGGGAAACACTGTTACGTGGAGCGGAGCCCTTTCTGTGTGTGTGTAGCCCATTACCTTGCTGCTGTTGCTCCTTTTGCTAACTTTGAAGAATCCGAGGAATTTTTTCTTCTCTTTATCTGTCTCATCATTGCTGAGGGATGCTTTTCTAAAGGTCTCTGAGGGGAGAAAGCGCTAAGTTATTTTTCAGCGTAAGAAATTAAACACCTCCCATTAAAAATCTCAGCAAACACATCCCCCCTTCTCAAACTTTTAGTTCTTATAAGAGGGTAAAACCATCAGCTATTTCTTTGAAAGCGTCGGGATCCCCCTCGAAGCCCCCAGGTCCCGTTTATGAAATCGCCACAGGGCCCCACGTCCGCTAGCGGGCACGGCGCGTTCCTCCCCGGGTGTGGCCGCTTCCCAGCCTCTCGCCTCTGCCTGACCCACTGGTTTTCCCTTCTAATGGCAGCCTCTGGGGGGCCCATTTCTTCTTCCATCCTTTTTTTTTTTTTTTTTTTAATTCCTGAACTCTAAATTCTCAACCTTTTCTTCTTTCATCGGGATTCCATTTTTTAACACTGTCTTACTATTTTTTTATTTGGAGGGTTGTTCACTATTAATTTTTAAATTTCTCTATTGCAGTTAACATTCAGCACTATTCTGTATGGGTCTCAGGCACACGGCACAGCGGTTAGACAGTCACAGACGTCCCAGAGCGGTCCTCCCGCGCGTCATGGAGCGGCCGCCGACGTTCCCAGCCCCTGCCTGGCCCCACGCAAAGCCATTGCAATGTCCCCATGCTGGACACCGGCAGGATTTGAGACCTGGTGCCCCTGTGCCAGACGGGACCCGCGGCCCCGGCTGTCAGGCAGGTGGCAGCATAGCCGAGGGCTGCTGCTCCCAGGGCGAGGGGGGCCCAGCAGCGTCAGCAGCCCTGGAGCTGGGCCCAGACACGACCCCTGGATCAGAACCTCTGGGGCTGGGCCCAGCGCCCGGCCTTCAATGAGCCCCACCCCGGGGACGCGTCGGGCGGGGGGCAGGGAGTGCTGAGGACCAGGGACGCGGAGGGGGCGAGCTCCGGGGTGAGGGCCCACTCGCGCAGCCCCCTCCGGCACTCTGGCCTCGGCGTCCTTGTCTGCAGATGGGGGGCCGCACCCCAGGGCCACGCGACGGCTGACCACCACCACGCGCTGGTTTGTGGACATGCCGGGGCCACCCCGAGCCTTTGCCATCAACTCATCTGGTTTCGTCTCCTGAGCCACACGGCTATGGCGAGAGAGGGAAAATTTAGGCGCCCCCGAAGGACAGAGCCAGGACCCCCCACGGCATTGCCCGCTGCTGGACGCCGGGCTGCAGGCCGAGACGTCTGGGCTGGGATGCGCAAAGCCCGCCACCGACACGTCAGGCTTTGCTACGTCCTGGGTGCTGGCCAGGACTGCGGCGTCCCACTCAGAGACCGACGCGAGGCCACTGCGTCCGCAACACAGGCGTGGACGCTGGCGCGCCCCCCGCCCCCAAGCAGCCCCGAACACACACATTCACGGAGTCATTCGCACGCAGCCGAGGTTCGGGCTCGGTCACGGCCGCCAGGGGTCTGCGTCGGTGCAGGCCCGTGCGCAGGCCCACGTCACACGCGTCCACACCAGCGGGCGGGCGTCCGTGCGCACCCACGGGTGCACGCGGGTTCCCTGCGATTGCACCCCTGCCCCTGCAGGCGCAGGGCTGGGAGGGGGAACACAAACGCGCTGCGGAGCAGAGCTGTGCATCCGCCATGGCACGCGTGGGGTGTGCGTCGGTGCCCGGCCGGGGTCTGGACTGAGCGCGTGCCCACGGATGTGGTCAATGCATGGCCCTGCGGCCCCCGATGGGTGAGGATGGGAGAGCATGTTCCTGGCACCCAGGCTGGGACTCCCCCCATAAAAATGACCCGGGGTCAGAAAACTGCCACGGCACCGAGGCCCTGGCTTCCCACCCGACACAGCGACATGGTCGGCCACCACCCCACAGGACGGCACCGCTGTCGGACGCGACACCCCGCGCGGGGGCCAGGCCAGCGCCGAGTGTTCTCGCATGAATCTGTTTTTCTAGAAACAGAATCTAGTGTTAAACGCTTTAACGGGAACACAAGTTTCTGTAAAATACAAAGCCTCATGGGGATTTTAATGAGCTTCTTGTGTGCGTGTGCCAAACATTTCACTAAAACCCCAATACGCGTGTGCGCGTGTGAATGTATATGCGTGTGTGTATATGTAAACATCGATGTATCTGTGGGTACGCATATGCAATTTATAAGAAATGGGTATCAGAATAAATGCAACAGCTGGACTAATCATTCTCATACTTGTCTAGGACAACAAAAGTGAAATGCCGCAAAGCACACTGGCCTAAATTCTGCAGCAGGTGGGATGGATCTCGAAGACAGGCAAGCACAGGCGAGGACAGGCAAGCGCAGGCGAGGACAGGGAAGCTCAGGGAAGCCCAGGGAAGAGACAGCGGCACCGCTTCTGCACGGCTGGCCCCCTCTCTGCCCTGGAAGGCCTCCCACAGGCCCATTTTCCACAGCAGCCTCCTTTGCTTCTCACCAGTCAGCCCCACACAGCAAATCCTCCCTTAGCCAACCAGAAAGTGCAGAAACCAAACCGCAGCCTCATTCGAGCCAGCAAGCCTCCCCCAGAGCCGCGGCCGAGCCATGCACAGCGCGGCGGCAGGCACAGCCCCCGCGCACGGTACCTCGACAGCTCAGGGAAGGCTCCGACTGGGTTTTGCTCAGCAGAACTGGAAAAGGCAGGCAGGCAGAGAGTGAGGGCCGGCCGAGACCTGCCGCCGCCCCCGCAGCCAGCAGCCTCGGTGGGGCTGTCGGCCCGACGCGGGGTGGGGGGCGGGGGGCCATGGGCAGAGCAGGCCCGCCTTCCTGACCTCGTGCTCCGGAGCCTGCAGCTGCAGGCTGCGAAGCGCCACCGCAGAGACAGGTGGCAGCAAAGTCCTCCTGGTCTGCGAGCTGCCAGGGCCAGGGATTCCCGAAGAGGCAGCCTGGGCCCAGGGACACATCTCCTGCCTTGGCCGCACCTGTTTGCAGCGGCTGGCCGGGAGCGGGCGGGGCCCGAGAGGGCCCTGGTGGGCGGCCTCCAGAACCTGGTGTTTTCTGCTTGGACACGTGACTGTCCTCAGGGCGCTGGAGGCCTTTGTCAGGGATGGTCACCGAACGTTTCATGGGCAGCACACAGGCGGTGTGGCCGGGGGCAGGTGAAGGGGGCGTGGGCCCCCTGGGCTGGGGCGGCCCCCTGCCAGGTGCAACCCTCATTCTCTGGGGAGGGTGCTGGGATCCCAGGAGTGAGGGTCCCTCAGAGGTGCCCAAGGCAGCAGAGAGGGGGACACGGGGCGTGGACAGAGCCGCTGCCCTGACTCGGAAGGGATGACACATGTGAGCAGCCAGGGAGTTTGCTCCTGTGTGTTCTCCCCGCGTGGGGGTCAAAGTGGGGTGCTGGCCGCGGGGAGGGTCCCCCGGCGGACGCCCAGCCCCCTGACCCGGACGCCACGGGCTCGCTGGGCGGCGCCCCGAGTGGAGAGACCGGTTTTATACGGTTCCCAGGGAATAGGCTCTGCGTCTACCTTTTAAGGCAGACGTGCGGCAGCCGCGGCCCCGAAACGCATGTTTGCGTGAGGCCGTGCCCCTCACCCTCTGCGATGGGGGGCAGTCTGCCATCCCTCCATCATGCCAAATAAGAGCTCCGTCCCGAAAGACTCCCAGAAACCAGATTTAAATTGGGCGGAGAGCACCAGACAGACCCGCTATTTCCAGGCCCGAGCGGCAGACGCTGAGAATAATCTTGTCTGAGTTTAAAGATACACGGCTCTCAAGTGTCAGACACTTTTTATGAAGGAATAAATAGTCTATGTATCTTCCATGCAACGGACCTGAGATCCTTTCTGGGGTGTCAAATGACGTCCCGCATCCCGAACCTCTGGGGCAGTTTGCGGGGGAGGGGTGGTCCCGCTGATCACTGATCTCACAACACATCTCACAATTACAAAGCAACTTTCTTACTGCAAACATTTAAGGAAAGATGTAGGGGGAAAAAAGCTCAAAAACTTGCATACGTATATATTTTAAAAGCTCAACCTGTCCAATATTTGTGGAATAAATAGGCAACAAATGTCACGTGAGGCTTGTTAACGCAGACCCTGCGATGAAGCTCATTGTAACCACGCGAAGGTCCAACGGTGTTGAATTGCGGGGGGCAGTCTGACTGCCGTTCACCCGGTTGCCCCGTGACTCTGTCAGGGGGTCTGCGCACGCAGCGCGTCCCTCTCCGTGCCAACCCGGGCCCTCCAGCGGCCACGCTCCCCGGTGGCTCGAACTGCCACCTCAGGCCACGTGGCGATTTCACGCGAGGACTACGCTGTCTCCAGCACCATGAGTTGTCTTGGGGGAGCAAGCGGTCACGGGAAGTCTCAGGGCTCAGCCGGATGTATTTTTGTCACCGGCTGTGGTCAGGAGCCATGCCCGAGGCCCAGGAGCCATCAAAGGCCGCTGGCGAGGAAGCGCAGGAGAGCATGGGTCACGGGTGGGCTGCGGGGAGGTCCTCTCGAGGGGGGACTCCACCGATTCGCCTCGCTTTCCCTCCCTGCTCCCGCAGGAGCTCCCGGGGATGGGGAACGGGTGTGCCCGGGACTGCGGGCCAAGGGGCGGAGTCACAGCCAAGGACCAGAGCGCGTTTGGTCTGTGGACCAAACTCCAGCCCATTCAACCCTGGTTTGGACAGAATTCGAGATGCCCGGAAATTCATGTACCGGCCTCGCGGGTGGGCAGGGCGCTGGGCTGAGCGCTTGAGGGGTGGCCCGCCTTGCTCAGGGGCAGGGGGCTCACCTCTCTCTCTTTAAAAAAAAAATATTTGTTGACTTGAGAGAGAGAGGGAAAGAAGCATCATGTGGCTGTTCCACTTCGTGAAGCGTTCCCTGGCTGACCCTGGCAGGGGCCCTGACCGGGGACGGGGATGATGCTCCCAGCAGCCCGGCGGCCGGCCCGGGCGGCACCCACCTCTCTTGTTGTCCCACGCGTAGAGCTCCTTTATGCCCAGCTCGTTCAGCGACTTGGAGAGCTCCAGCTCCTCCCCCGCAACGTTGTCCCTGAGGAGCACCACATGCTCGGGGCTCACGTCGCACTTGGCGCAGATGACGGGCAGGATGTTCTGCAGGGGCACCTCGGGGCTCACCCGCACCACGGCCTTCTGCGTCCGCAGGTAGTTCACGACCAGCCGCACGGACTTCTGGAAGACACACCGGAAGACGCGGAGCCGTGAGCGCCTCCCCCACCCACACGCCGACGGCTCCGCCCTCCGCCTTTATACCAGGGCTGAGCCGGGCCGGGGCGTGAGCGGGCTGGCCCTGTCTTCCACAGGCTCCGGGGCCCTGGGGGAACGGCACACAGCAGAGTGAACAATACGCGCCCGGAGTAATCATTTACCTGAGAATCTCCTACTGACGCACACAGGGGAGCGAACGTCGGAGAAAGCTCCCACTTCACATCCATCACACCCAAGGGCTTCCAGGGATTCGGGCTACACTTGAACGCAAGGAACTAATAGGCATTTTGTGAAGCGAAATAGTTTGGGAGGATTATGACTAATTCAATGTAAAGAAAAACCCTCAGCAAACAAGACATCAAAGTCTTGTGGAAGAAGTCAAAATATCCCCTTAGGTTTATGAATATTTATCTAAATGTACAGTGTGTGTCTCTAAGTCTGTGTACACACCTGTTCACACATACACACTACACACACATATATTTGAAGCTACAAAACCATTTTAGTTTTCTTTCAAGCATCAGGTATATGATAATCAGAAAGGGAAGCCATCGGTTTGATTAGAGCTGATTCTGAATGTGGACAAGGCGGCCTGTCAGGAGCATTGGCCCCGGCAAAGCCTCGGGCCGTCGGCCTTTGGCTGCCACCCCGGCCGCCCCTCGGCACCGAGGGCCCCGAGAGCAGACGCGGCACCCGGCGCTGGTGGAGGCACCGAGGCTGAGCTCAGACCCCGGCCCAGCCTCGGGGCCGGGTCCGATGTACGTGTGGCGGGAACATGGCGCACGGCCTGGGCCATGTTTCTGGAACTGGGATCAGGCACAGCCCTGGGCTCACCTGCCTGCGGAGTGGACACCCACGGCCGGGACGGCGGGAGAAGCCGCCAGGCACAACCGAGGTTTCTCGGCCGTCAACACGGATTTTACTGGAAGAACTAGAGGAAACTCTTCCACACAGAGTGCAGACGACATCAGTTAAAATTTAGGAACCGCCCAGACCTAGAAATTCACAGGAGATGGGCCGTTGGCTACATTGCCATTTTTAAAAGCAGGAAACTTTTGTTCCTATTCGAAGAATCCAAGTGAATAAAATAGCATTACTTATAATTAGACCTAAAGAACCATAGCAAATCCTTATTAAAAAGTACAGTAAGCAGCTGGAATTAATTTTGATCGATAACCAAAAGCCTAAAATAAATCTGTGTACATGATAAGATATTCTCCAACTGCAATGAGTAAATATTTCTCACATCAATTTTTCAAAAGAAGACTTCTGCCCCCCTCCCAATCTCTAAGAAAACGTTCAAATCTGCACCCGGCCTGCCTCCTGGGGCAGGAAGACCTGCAGAACCGGACCGGAACCCCTAGAACCAGCCCAGGAGGGTAGCCACCGTGGTTACTTGCATGTAAATAGATTACAAGTCCGGTTTTTTGGACACAGTAGCTGCGCTGCAGAGGCTCAGCAGCTGCAGGTGACAAATGGCTGTCACCCCGCAAAGCGCAGAACTGGAGACCGTGCCCAGCTGTGCTGGGAGTCGGAGTGGCTTTCTGAGCTCCAGACTACGTCTTCTTCTAACAAGCCCAAAGGCCCAACAGCGTCACAAAAACGAACATTCTTACATTCTGGAAACTTCCGTCTTCTGAAATAAACTCAGTTTGGTGGCCGGCTTTGCCTGGCCCGGAGGTAGACCCCTCACCCCAGCCGCCCGCAGGTGCCGCTGACAGAGCAGGGCCCCCGCCCGCCCCCACGCCCGCGGCACAGCGGCCGCAGGGGCCTGCATGGACCCCGGGCCCCCAAGGGCCCCGACCCACTGACCTCAGGCATCTTTGGTGGGACAGGCTTCGCCTTCTCCTCGGGGACTTTTTCCTTCAGAAACACAGTGTGCACGTTCAGAGTCCCCACCGAAGTGTTTGGCTTAAAACTCAAAGGCTGCTGGGAGTCGGAAGACCAGATCTCAAGGGCGTGGTGGGACGGGTTCAGGCGGTTCTGGAGGCAGAGCTCGACGAGGAGGTCCATCACGGCGTGGCTGGAAGGGAGACCGAGCGTCAGCGGGGCCTGCGCCCTTCCCGCAGGCGGGGGCTCTGGCGGGGGGACGGCCAGCGCGTGAGCGAGCGAACTGCGAGGAACGGCAGCGGCCGGGCACGCGTCTGTTGGGCGCAACGGCACCGCCACGGCCTGATGTTCCCCGTGCTGACGACCGACGCTGCCACAGCGGTGACCGGGCCACGGCCGCTGAGCGGGGGAAGCAGCCCCCTTTCCAGCTGCCTCCGTTGGGCCCTGTCAGCTCAGGCAACGCGAGTGACAGGGCAGGAAGTCCCCCTTAATCCCATCAGGGGGTGCGGCGACTTCCCGGTCACAGGCCGTGGAAGGGAACCAGTTTTGCCAAAGGCCAAAGCAAGAGTTAAGTCCTGCCTACAAGCAGCTCACGACCTTATAACAGAACAACGTGGACAACATGGCCGGGGAGGGCCTGCAGGGCTTAGGGGCGCAAGGCGCTCACTTTCCAGTGACTCGTGTGTCCTCAAAACAGACTATTTTAACTTGAAGAAGAGGACGGCTTTCTTTCTTTCCTTTTTTTCTTTGCTAAACGGAGCACGCCGTGCTCGGGATGGGGCCGGCTGTGCTGCTGGCCCCCGGCGAGGGTTTGCTCCGTCTGCGAACTGCTGTGCCCCTGCCTTTCTCCCCCCCCTTCTCTCTGCTCCCCCAACGTCTCCTAAGGGCCCAGAATGGAGAATTGAATTGAATTTTTCATCCTGTGCGTGGTGTCTATTTTTAAATTTAAAAAGCGAGTACAATTTTTCTACCTCTTTCTTTAAAAAAACACGTCCCTTTCCCAACGTGTGGAGCGTGTTGGCGTGACTCAGTGGTTTCAGAAAGAAGCGCGAGCTGGGCTCCTTTCTCTCGGGGCTCTTTCCAGAACCCTGGTGGGGAGCCGGACAGAGCAGAGTATGTGTACGCCCCGCGCCCCAGACGCAGGGGGCCCTCGGGGACCACGCGGAAGGGACAGGGGTGCCAGAGGGGCCGAGGCCCAGTTCCCCGGCAGCGGAGGGCACCGCCCTTCTCCAGAGGTCGGCACTTCTACTGAAGTCACGACACCTGCTGACACTAAGTCACCGCCACAGCCCTCAGGCCGGCAGAGCCCAGGCTTCGGGCAGCGGGGTTCTCAGACTCTACCAGGTGCCCGAAATTCCGGCCATGTTCCAGCGCAGGCTGCGGACGGGCCCCACCCGGGCCTCTGATTCACTCGCCGGGCTGGGAGCTAGTATCCCTAACAAGCCCTCAGGCGGCGCAGCCGTCTGGGACCCCCGGGAAAATCTCTGCCCAAGTCCTCGGGAAACGGGCGCGTAGTGCGTGTGCCCTGGGTGGGTAAAGGGGCCACCTGGCCATCCTCACACGTCACACGCAGGCAGCTACTTCTGGAGGGGATGTTAAAACAAACCCGCAGTGTGTACACGCTGTCCAATCTTGAGCTGGTTGGACGTGGCCTCGTTTTCAGGACGGGCCCGGGGCCAGCAGGTGGCCCCACGCCCTGCGTAAGGCACACTGGTGTAACGGAGGCACGGCAAGGCCGGGGAGAAAGTCCCGTGGCGGCGTCCTGTGTCATCGGAGAGACTGTGAGGCAGGGCGAGAGCCCTCCCCGAGGCGGTCAGAACCCACGGGCCCCGCCCGGCAGCCCATGCGGGGAGAAGGTAAGCAAGGACCAAGGGCAGACAGGTGGCTGAAGAAGCCCCGTGGCGGGGAGTCTGTGGCCAGAGGCAGGCGCCAGGCCCGAGGCTGGGTTGCCGTGAGAAGCCGGGGCACAGCCCCAGCCTGCCGGCCTCTGCACACGCGGGTCACGGTGCCAATCACCCCCCCCCCCCCGCCTGCTTGCTGCCCTGTCCTGCTCCCCACGCGTGACAGAAGTCAGGTGTTCACTATGCATTTCGCTCAATGAGTAAATAGCCTCCCTTGTTAGTGTAACAAGGTCCCACAGAGAGAGACGGCCCCTCTGTACGACTGTAAGACAGCGAGGTCGCCTTCGGGGAGCCATCAGACGTGGGCCTAGCAAAGAGCAGGCCGACCTGGGCACAGGCGAGCGCGCGGTTACGGCCTGGGGAGAGCCTCCCAGGAAGGTCCTTGGGGCGCGGGGGCTGCAGGGACCCTCGCGTTCTGCGTGTCACAGTGACGTTTTTCTTTTCAGCTTCTCCCCCGCGTGTAGGCCCATCAAAGACTCTGCAAGGCAGAGGCATTTTAGGGGGGCCGCCCCTGGAAGTTGCGAGTGAGCCCCTGTATGGCCAAGCACACGGCGCTGGCTGCCGAGAGAGGGGCGCGGTGAGCCCCACCCCCGGGGGCCATGACCGGCGTGGGCTCACATGCCGGGGCTTTTCTCCGGGGACACCGCGCTGCTGGGTACTTCGGCGGGGGTGCAAGTCATCACCCACGCGTGCGGACGCACGGAACGCACCACGCCACGGGAACTCGGATGCGCGTCGCCTGCGCGCATCCTGCCCGGATGGGGATGCAGACTCTGGGGGCGCTGGGCGTGCACAGAAAATCTCTGCACGTTCCTCTCAATGTTTCCATAAACCCAAGACTGTGGCAAAAACAAAAAAGTCTCAAAAAGGTATTCTTCAAGAGGAAATGGAAGTCAGACCACACTGCGCTTAACCATCAGCCTGTTAGGCAGCGAGCAGCCTTCTCCTCTCTGGGAGGCGCCCGATGTCGACGCTGCCCTTCCCCACCCGCCGGGCGCTGGGCCGGGGTGCCTGCTTTGGCCCCGGGAGCAGCTCCGTCCGCACCAGCTCCACCAGCCCCTCGGGGGCAGGGCAGGGGACGGACAGCCAGGGCAGAGGGTCTCTGTCCGCGCCCTGTGCCCCCATCTTGGGGAGGCGGGCTCTCCGCAGGAGGAACGCGGGGCCCGGGCGCCTACGCCGGCTCACGCGGGCCAGCACCGCAGCGCCCGGCCGGGCTGTGAACGCGTCTGCTGCGAAGGGGCTCCGCCCGGGCAGGCAGACGTGGGACTGAAGACAGAGGGGGCCTCACGGGGCCTGGGGCTCCCTCGCCTGGCCCTGCCCCAGGCTCCTGGGGCACGCGTGCCCACTCGGACGTGACCGGGGCACCACGTCCAAACGACACAGCCCCGACCCGCCAATGCCTGACAGTCTGCGAAGCCCCCTTTCGGCTCAGAGTGTTGTCTCCTCGAAGATCTTCTCTTTACTTGGCCCCAGTTACAGTGATGGGGTCTGTGGCTGCCTCCCGGCGGCCGTGGCTGGGCTGAAGCCCCGCCCCGCACGCAGGCCACGGCACGACCCCTGAGAATGGCCCCAAACACCGGCTCTTAATCTCCATGAGAATGCACTGGACTTTATGTTCATGTTTCTAAATCCAAAGGGAGCTTTAAAAAAAAAAATCACTGTGATATGCAGAATGAGACTCCAACCACTGCTGTGTTTCCTTTCTGAGGGTCTTCATGTCAGGGAACAGCACGCTGGGGGCTGGCCACAGATTAGAGTCCACTCGCCCGTCCTATGAGAAGGCTCTCCCGCAAGGCGGGAGCGAGGGCCCACGCTGGTAAACACAGCAGGTCTATTTTAAGCCAGGGTCTGGACTGGGACGTTGGCCCACTCCTGTGTTACTAAAGCGTGTGACACCCTCCCAAGACTCGGAGCTGCTGAATGAGCGGGGCCGCGCCCCAGTTTGGGGGCCCATAGGCCGCCCTGTCTCACCCTGGCGTCCAGGAACCGTGGGCAGGGGGTAGATCTCACTCCTTGGAAAACACAATGATTTAAAGCGCAATCTCTACAGCGGCACCTCTTCTGGTAGCTACGCTGCAAAACCACACGGTGGGAGCTTCCGCTTCGTAAGGGGAAAAAAAGGAAAGGGATCATGAGCGTTTAAGGACAAGAGGTGGAAGGATTGGGACTGGTAGGAATTAGGATAATTGGATTTCTAAAAATTGCCTACTGAGTCCTGGCTGGTGTGGCTCAGTGGACTGAACATCGGCCTGCAAACCAAAGGGTCACCGGTTCAATGGCCAGCCAGGGCACCTGCCTGGGTTGCGGGCCAGGCCCCCAGCAGGGGGTGCATGAGAGGCAGCCACACAGGGATGTTTCTCTCCTTCTCTTCCTGCCTTCTCCTCTCTCTAAAAATAAATAAATACAAGAAATCTTTAAAAACAAACAGTTTCCAATGTCAAAGTGTTGGTTTCCAGGCAGGTGGGACGTCTCTCTCTCTCTCCTTGTGCATTTGTGAACTGGCCCTAGGTGACAGCATGAAGACAAGCCCCCACGGCCGTTTTTTAAAAAAGTGTGTAACTAAACTGGCGCTTTCCTGGGTGGGGACTTAGCCACGAGCTCGCCACGTTGTGTGAATTAGGTAGGCGCAGTGTTCTGTCTGTTAATCGTACCTCAGTCGAGTGTTTCTTTTTTTTTTTCCTTTCACGGTATTGTTTTTATTTTTGTTGGCTAGATCCGTTTTTCTCTTTCTTTTAAATTATTTTTTTATGAAATGTGTTGGGGTGACATTTGTTAATAGGGTCTTAGAAGTCTCAGGGGTACAATTCTATGATACGTGATCCGCGTAGTGCGCTGTTGCCCGCCCCCCAATCAACTTTTTTTTAATGTAACTAGAAATTGGCCCCGAAACAGAAGAACCATGACTAAAACACAATATATTCGCTGATAAAATTTCATGCATCTATTACAGTAGTTGAAGCCTATAAGGCGATTGCATGTTTTCAAGTCAAAAAGATGTGGGAAAAGAGTAGTCAGGACAAGGACCGCCCCGCAAAACAAAGAAACACAGAGACTCTGGTCACCTGAGTGTCTCTGGCGCCTCCTGTGGGTCCGATGCAGCCCTCGCTTCGGCCCGCGGGCCCTTCCCCCGCGACAATGGCAGCAGGAGGGAGCCCTGAGGAGCAGCCCCGGACGCACCTGCAACGCTGTTTGGAAGGTGGGGGGACTGCCTACGGGGGACACGCTGGGCCCGCAGCCCGCAGCCCACCCGGCGGACGCCTGCCCCTCTGGCGTCTGTTCACGGGCCTGCGACGTAATTCTAAAAACGATAGACCCCATTGCCAATTAAATGATCACCTGGAATTCTCATTATAAAGCTTAACCCTTTAATTCAAATATGAATTTTCATGAGTAAAGTTTAGGTGGCATGTAAAAACTGACATTTAAAAACCAAGGTGCGTCACCGTGTTTAGTGTGTTCGCGAGACCACAACGCCCGGGTTCTGGGGTGAGGGGGCCGTGGTCCGTTTCTAAAATATCCACATGAGCTGCTTTTTAAGACTGAAGTTCTCTGTATCATTTCTTGCGCTTCTTGTCTCCCCAAAAGTGCTATACCTGCCTCAGAAGCATGGAAACATATTTTCATATGTGAGATTTTTTAGATTTTTTATAATTGCTCACTCTATCATAACCACTACAATAAAAACGCCATAAACATTTACATTTTTGTTCCCTGCGACTGTGTTACAATTTTTTATTATAAAGTTATCAGTAACGACAGTAGCAGTAACAGAAAATAGTTCACACAACATAATTGTCATATAGTTTGATCAATACCAAACGTAGAATGAGAAATCCCCCTGGGACTATAACGTCTGGTGCTCTGAGGGAGGGAGGCTGGGCCTTTGCGGGGAGAGGACGTGCCCGCGCCCGTGACCCCAGGCTCCCGACCCAGGAGGACCGGGTCCAAGAATGGGAGTGGGCCCCGCAGCCTGGAGATCGAGTCCCTTACACTGAAAGTGTGTGGGTTGGACTTCCCTTCTTGGTCTAAACCTGGACCTAGAGTGGCCGGCCGGTGTACGGGCCCCTGTGGGCCAGCCCGGGAGTGGACACGTGGACCCCGGACGGTCCACGTGGGAGGCTGCCCCTGGCTGAGCACCTCCGCGCCAAGCTCGCGAGCGCAGGCTGGTGGCAGGGCGCCCGCCGGGGGCGGGGTCCGGGGCGCCCCGGTGCGCGGTGCCGCCGCTCCCCACTCAGGACCGAGGCGAGCCTGCGGGGCCGGCCAGCGGGGTCCCTGCCCGGCCCTTACCTCCCGTTGACCACGCTCCTCTTCTCCAGCCCGCTGGGCAGCACGACGGTCAGGTCCACCGCCCTGTCCCGCAGGCTCTCCTTCAGGGGCAGCCGGTTCTGCTGGCGGGCGGGGGACGTGCTGCGGGGAGGGCTCTGGCCCCTCTGCGCCGTCGGGGTGGCGGGCTTCCCGGGGGGCGGGGGCGCGCGGGCCTTCATCTTCCTCCTTGAACGACAAGAGGGGGACGGGGTGAAGCGGCGCGTTGGTACACGGCGGGAGTGCCCGGCGGCGCTGAGGGCCGGCCCCGCCTCTCGCTCCAGGGGACGCCGCCCTTCTTGGGAAAGGCCTTTTAAAATCGGCCGCTGGGCCCCTTTTTGAAATTATAAAGTTCTCAGTAACAGCAGCAGCGGTGGTACCAGTCTGATCGAACAACATAATTGCAGTGCATCTGGACAAATATCAAACATAGGACTGGAAATTCTATTGGGGATAGAACTGTTATCTTAACACCACGGCTGGGCCTGGCCGGGTGGCTCCGTTGGTTGGAGTGTCCGGTGATGCTCTGACGTCCCTATTCCCCTGGCCGGAGAGTCGTAACACCTGACAGGAAGTCACCTGCTCTGATGAACAGTTTGAGAAAACCCTGTCTCCTCCAGATACTCAGGGAAGGCACCGACCTTACTTTGTACGGGGAGTTTACCCTGCCAGTCTGCCTGTGTGTGTGTGTGAGCGGGTGTGTGTGTGTTATATGTGCATATACACACACTTACTTATAGCTAAGAACCTATTTTATACAGGCCATGGCATTTCATAATGCCAGCTCGCCCTCCCTGGCCCTCAGCACCCGCGGGAATCCAATCTCAGCAAGTTCACCTCGCTCCGTCCTCAACCGAGGGTACAGCGGCGCAAACCGAGCGTGGGAGCGACTTGTGATTCTCTGAAGGCAGGAGGCCTGGCGCCGGGGCACAGCGCGCGCCCGGCCCCGCCCCGCCCCCGCCCCGCCCACTCTGCTTGCATGGCCCTCAGAGGGGGAGCGCGGGCCCGCGGGCCCCACTTCTGCCGCGGAGCTACCCCGTGGGGGTGTCCCCAGGCCACGGCGCCTGACCCAGGAATTCCACTTCTAGAAGTTCGTCCCAAAGAAATAGCCCCGCAGGTGTCTGTGTGAGTTTCAAAGATGCTCAGAATGTCGTTTGTAAGAGCCAGTAATCTAACCACAGGTCCATAAATTGAGACACTTGCAATCAATAGCGGTGCTTTAAAACACTGTTACACCGGTGCTGGTTAAAGAGACTTTAAAAGGACACACTTGGATGTGCCAAAACGCTCCAAACAGGTCTGGTAGACAACAAGCTTCAACACATCGTTTGTTTAGGGAAATTCTGTTTTTAAGCAGGGTGTAGAGTATAGCAGTAGACCCTAAAACCGTCCGGAAAAATACAGCAAAGGATTAGCAACAATGAGCCCTGGGAGACAGGACACAAGACCCGCGTTTACTACTGTCACTTCCACGCATTTCCCAATCTTTCTGTCATCTCACTTGTGTACGCGGTACTTGCCAGATGGAAGAGATCATTTACAAGGTCATTAGCTGAAAAGAACAGCCCCTGGGATTCTGAGGAAGCCACCAGTTACCATGGCTCCTGTCACTGGGTGAACGCAAGTCTGAGGAGTGACTTTGGGGACACAGCCTCCGCTGTAACCAACAGACATACATCCGTTCTCTCGCTCCCCTTGTTAAAAGCCTCTACCTGCAGCATCGCTGGTATAATTTTTATGCCTCATTCTTACCCCGTACGCACTTTTCCTTTCAATCCGTGGAAATAAACACGAAGCAGCCCACCTATGCTGCTCTCGTCCGAGGGCGGAAGGTCACGCATGCATCTACCGTCACAACCGCCCCGAGCAGATGCCAGCCTCGTCCCTGTCTCAGGGACAAGGGGTCTGGGCGCACCTTTCCAGGATCGCCGAGCGCCAGAGCGACGTCGAACCCAGGCGATTCGGTGCCAGAGCAGAGCTCTTAGTCACTGTGTCCTTCGGCGTCTGTGCGGAGGAGGAGCTGTCCCCACGGTCCGCGCCCGGGACGGTCAGGACAGAGAGGGAGAGGCGGCGGAGCCCTGGGTTAGCCCGCCGAAGGTCTTGGCCACGGGCTGCCAGCACTACCTCCCCGACGTGCTTCAGAAAGGGTGGGCTCGTTGGTCCTGTCTAGGAAATGAGTCTTTTCCCTGGGAGGACTGTTTATTTCTGGGCAGTTACGCAACTGGCTTGAACTCCCTCAAACACAGAGCCAAGATGGAAGCCACGTAACGACACGATTCCTCGCTCAGCTGGCACAGGGTCGGGGTCGGGGGGCGCAGCACGAGGAGTCCGCTCCCCCAGCCTTTCCCCAGTACGCAGTGTCCCCAGCCCCCGGAGTCCCCTGAGACGGGGTCTCATCTCCCTCCCCGCATGCCCCCCGTCCGCGCGGCGGAGCCCTGCCTGCCAGTCCTAGGCCTGCGTGACCGTCCAGACCACGAGTGCGCCGACGGCACCCTGCAGCGCTGCTCCCGAGGGGCCGGCACGGGGGGCTCTCCGGCTCCCTGCACAGCGTGCTGAGTGGGTGCGTGTACGTCACCTGCGAAAACACGCCTCAGACGTTTCACACTGACACAACGAGATTCTGGCCTTTTTGGGAAAAAACAACAACAACAACAACATTAAAAGTTCTGATGAAGGCTGCGAACGGCTACCCAGCACCGCCAGGCAGGCACCGCTTTCCGGAAGGTACCGGAGGCCTTCGGCGGAGGGGCGTGTGGGCGGAGAGCCGGGCGCAAGTCCCTGTGCAGGCAGCTCCCCTCCTCGGCTCTGTCCAGGTTGAGAAGCTGGGTGTGTCCTGCAGAAACTACTTACAAAACAAAAAAAATCTATAAAACCATCTCTGGCATGTCGAAGGGCATCTGGGAGAGGTCCAAGCGGTTTGAGCTTGAAGCACCGTGTGTTTACTGGTGCCGAGTGCCGCCCGCCAGGTCTGAGAGCTCAGCTCGTTTGGGAACCCGGGGCTGCCGGGCACCTGCTCCTTGGGGGTGACCCCACGCCTGCCCCCAGGCGGGGTGGCTGCAGAGAGCCGGACCGCACCGGGGACAGCCGTGGGCTGGGGGTGCTGCATGGCCGCTCTGCAGACTGACAGGGGAAGCCCGCACGGCTGTCCTCCTCCTGCTCGGTCCGAAGGGCCCGCTGTCCGTGGCTTCCTGCTGTCCCGCACGCTGCTTCTCAGGACCCGCGCCGCGGGCGCGGGAGTCGGCGGCTGGGCCGCGACAGCCACCCCCCTCTAGGGGCACGCCGACGTGGCACCTGCCCATCGACGCGCGCTCCTGGCAGGCGGCGGGCACAGGGCTGCGCTCGGAGGGCTCTTCCAGGAAACCAGGCCCGCCCACTGCTGCGGGCGGCCGGCCTGTCCTCTCCCAGAGGCTCTGCAGCTGAGCAGCCCAGCGGGCGTGGCTTCCTCCGGGGCGGGGTGGGACACTGTAAACAAGCCGCCCGCCCCCCTGGGTCCTCATTCCCCCAGGTCTGGGCGAGGCCCGGGCCCCTTCCATGGGCTGTGGGGCTCCCTCTGGAGCCTGCGCCCCCCCCAGGTCAGCCCTGCTCCTCGGCCGCGGCCCCTTCCCCGGGGCGACCGTCCGTCAGCCTTGCCCCGCACAGAAACCACTCCTGGAGGCCTGGGCCCCGCGGGGCCTCTACTTCCAGGCCATGCCCAGCCCAGGGCCTTCCGCAGGGCCGGCCTCACCGGAGACCTCTCCGTTCCCTGGTGTGAACGTGTTCTCATCCAGAGGGTGGGGCTGCCTTTTGCAGGACGCACCCACGCTGTTCTAAGGAAGCTGAATGCCAAGTTCAGCCCCACTAAGTGCTGGGGGGCGTGAATGCTGGGCGCCCCTGAGCACCAAGGCCTTCTGCTGACAGGACGGTGACCTTCGCGGACCCTTTCAGGGGCAATAAAATTCCAGGCGAGAGCGGCACGGAGACATCAGGCCCCGAAAATCAATGCTTGGGGTAGACTGGTTTGGTTGGTAGCGACGAAGAAAAAGTAAAACCCGGTGGAGACGCCTGGGGTGGGGAGGGTGGCTTTGACATCCACCCTGAACGCGGGTGGCAGCATCGTAGAGGCAGGGGTGTGTCCCTCCCTTCTGCTGGGCCAGGGGTGGGAGGAGACGGACAGAGGGAGGGACAGGGCCGCCACTGCCTTTCGATCGGGGTGGTGGAGATGAAGCCCGATTAAAGGCAGGGTGAAGACGTCGACACTCGTCCTACGAGGTCCGGCACCACCCCCACCCCCGGCCCCGGCCCCCCGGTGATTCCCACGGACTCCACACCTGCACCTGTCTCCTCTCATAGGTCCCACATTCACGCTGCCGCTCAGAAGGGACGTCACGGCATTACCGAGTCCCCGCTGACCCGCGCAGCGCTTGGCCAGGTGCCGGCGCTGAGACGGGGCCGCACCTCCGCGTGGGGCCGGAGCCCTGAGCATCGCCGCCTCCCGACCCCTGCCTCGCCCCACCCCCGCCCGCTGTTTGCCCCCGGAATGGCAGGGTCCCCCCTCGGGCAGTGTTGGCCCTGCTGGAGCCGGCGCGAGGCCGCCTCCACCGGGAGTCGATGGCCCGGTCGCCACCCTCTTTAGCGGGCAATGGGGGAAGGAACACGTGCAGAAACCCAGGCCCACCCCGGGGGGCAGCACGGCACCGCTGGGGGGACAGGACCGACTCCCCCCCGGCCACCGGCTCCCCGTCTCCAGGCCCTGCCGCTGGGCTCTTAGCTCTTGGCTTCTGGACACTTCTGAGCCAGCGTGCCCGGCCCTCGGCGCACAGCGGTCCCCATGGAGGGCCACGCGGCTGGAAAGGCCAGAGCAGCAGCCGCGGTCTCCCTGAGCGCCAGGTGACCGCAGCCACGGGCGCCCTGGCCCTGGGGAGTTGGTGGCACAAGTTGCAGACCCGAGCGCTCTGCGGGGACGTGTCCTCAACGAGCCGGCCTGTTTCTAAGCAGAGTCGGAGCCCCTGAGACCCCCCTGGTCCCCACCGAAGCTTCCTCGCGGCTCCCAGGAGACACAGGCCAGGGAAGAGGCGGAGGCCGGGGGCGGGACGGGGCCTGCCCGGGCTGATGTCAGCGTCCTCAGTGCGCTGAGGGTCCGGCAGGGTCCGCGACGCCCCGGGGGGGGTCCTGCGTAATCCCTCCCTCCAGGCAGGAGGCGCCGAAGACCT